TTAAATACAAATAAAAGTTATTTTTAATTTTTTTTTATCAAATATAATTTTGAAGTTACTTTTTCAGACTGTGAATCAATTAAAGAAACAACTTTTAAACTTAGCCAAAGGCCTATTAGCACAAAACGTCCCTACACCTAGTCTTTAATATGCAAAACGTCTTTACGTTTTAATTTTTTGCATTTTCACCCCTATTTCTAGTTTCATTGTTGAAACGTCATTTTCATCAACTTTTATCCAATTTCTCAATTAAAAATTATAAAATGACAAATATACCATCTTATTTAAGAGAGAGAGTGAGGGGGGTGTTTGGCACCCATTAATTTTTTAAATTTTTTCTCTTTTTTAATTATAACCACACATTCTCCAAATAAAATAATATTACACACAAATTTAAAACTTTTTATTACTTTTCAACCAGACATTTTTCCAACAATCACTATTCCAAAATTTATAATTTCCCAAAAATGAGCCAAACACATGCTAAAGAACAAATTGCAATCATACTCCTATTTTTTTTTTTTCCCAAAAAAGTACAAATAAATTAAATTAAGAAATAAGAAAGAAAAGAAAAATAATTTCTTCTTTCCTTCACACCCCCCCTCGCATTCCCACCCCCCATCCCAACCAAGAACTGAAAATAGTACTTCACAATCCTTAAATTCCATAATTTTTTTAGGGTAATTTTCTATTTTTGTGAAAAAGTTTGTCTTGAAGGGATATGGAGAACGGTGCTAATGGTGGTTGATCCAATTGTAAGCATGACGGAGGTGGCGATTCAGTGTTGAAAGAAATTTCCAGCCTTCTTTTTTTTCGATTTCCACCAAACCCTTCAATTTCTTTTAAATCGCCTCTCCTTTCTCTTCAATGATTTGTTCTTTTTACACTTTTGGTACTCGATTAGATGTGGATTTTAAATGTTTGAGTGCGATGACTGGTCATCTAGAAAGATGCAAGCAAACATATGACAACAAATGGAGGTTCTCAAAAGAAGTGGTGCTCGATCACAAGTATTGTGAGCGTCATCTGCAGAAAGTCATCACCGTTCAAGAAAGCTTGTGGAAGTCAAGAACAATGCCACTGTCAATAACAAGAATAAAAGCCCTCTTTTGTTTAGTCCTAAAATCGTTCTAAGTATTTTTGCATCATCGAGTAAGAAATATGAGAGATTGTTTTTAGTATTTCTACATCCTCTAGCATTTTACAATCTATTTTCTGGTTTCGTGGTCAGGGTGAGGCTGGGGGTGGGAGAGGGAGCAGATTTTTCTTTTCTTGCTTGATTTTTTAATCTAATTTATTTGAGAATTATTTTTTACTTTTTTTAAAAAAATGGGAGTATGATTACAATTTGTTCTTTATTTTTTTTCTTTTCCTTTTATTTAAATAGGAGGATATATTTGTCATTTTACAATTTTTAATTGAGAAATTAGATAAAAATTGATGAAAATTTCATAATGAAACGTGAAAATATGGGTAAAAATTTGAAACGTATGAACATTTTACACACTAAGAGCCAAATGCAGGGACGTTTTGCGTTAATAAGCCCTTATCCAAACTATAACTTTCATAACCGATTTCGAGTTACAGTAAATTAATAGTTATCCCATGTTTGGGCTTTAATTTTTTTCAAAAACTCATTTTCAACAACACGTTCTCCGATAAAATAATTTTACACATAAATCCAATTTTTTCCTTTTTTTGACAACACGTTTTTCAAAAGATCACTATTCTAAAATACATTTTCTCCCAAAAATAGAATCAACAAGTGCTCAATATCGAACATTATGTCATGTTCAGTAGGCAGGAGTTGATTTAGAGCGTGGCTGGTGATAAGTGCATTTTTGTGCACTTATTCAGGGTTCATTTTACTAAGCTTTTGTATCGTTTTATTATTGCATGTTACTTAACTTAGACTATTTTTATCTTATTTCAGTTTTGGACCTGTTTCGAAGAAATTGGAAAAAGAAAGAAGGATAAATTGGCCAATTGATGGAATTTTGGGGACTAACATGCATTTGGGTAAAAGTTGAAGTACTAAAATTGAAGTAATTTGATGAGGAGGATCAAGATGGAAGAAAGAATGAAGAAAACGGCGGAAAAGTAAAGTGGCAAAAATTTAGCCTGGGCAACCGCCCATTTATTTTGCCTAGGCAGCCGCCCAACCTTC